TAAGTAGTATGTTTGTAATTATATTAAATGGTAAATTTTGTCAAGTTTTAATTGAGCTCAAAAACTTTAGTTTTTTGAGTTCATAATTAATGTTCATTATTTATTACCAAAAATACTATTTACTCTGTATTCTTGTAAGTATTTTTTTTGATTACCTTGAATTGTGATAGTTTAAAATTAATTAAATAAAAATTAAAGTCGTGAATATATAAAAAATATATAACTAATATAATATTGTATACATAAAATCGACATATGCATGATTTTTTCCAGGCGCTCCCATTTGATAATGGATTTAAGTAGAGACAGCTTTTTCGAACAACTATTACAACTGTGGGTATTCACACAGTACTAAAGAGCTTGAGGGTTATATCCTTAATATATTTTTTAATGCTTTCAAATTTTATAACGTTGAGTGCATCTATATTTGAATTTTTTACATACCAGAGGCTTTAACCAGTCTTTTTCGAAATTTTTACATGAAAACTACCAACAATAAATAGACGATATCTGGCGCGCCTTTTTCTTCTCACCCATGGCTCGTGTGATCAATGTAAAAATTACGTATACTAGTTGATGGTAGTTGAAGTGTGTGGTAACTAATGTAAAAAATTTACTCTTGAGAAAAAAGTCACGACTAGTTTAATTATTGGTCGATGGAGTAAAGTACTATATCAACATTTAACGTACTAAAAAAATGTTTCAAAATAACAAACTCTTCTAAACTCCATTGTTAAATCAATTATGCCCGGGAATTCGGAATCGTAGTATCTACTCATTTTTAATACGCGATTTATGTAGATGTCTTCTTCGTTTACAAAAAGCCTTTCCTTTATCAGCAAATATATTTCTCCCAAAAGAGGCAGTGTGAAATCAGGTTAACGAAGTGAGAGGTTGATAGTTAAAATATATATTCAAGTCAAAGTGTCGACAACAAATTCCAATCTTATAAATTGTGCTTGATCGAGAATCGAGATCGAATTTTCAATTTAGAAATTTTTAGATAAAATTTACGAACAGTAAGCAGACGCGCCAATTGGAACAAATTACATCAAGTCAAATTGGCGTGCTTGGAAAATTAAAATTCCATCGATTACTTATTTATAATCCCAACGAGAGCACAATCTTATGGAATACCTAGATGTCGTTTATTCATAGACTACTTTTAAATTAGTTAATATGAATAACTAAAAAGGGAACAATAAGAGCGGATCATTTTAAGAGCAATGAAAAGATATACGGTACAAAACACACCTATTTGACAACGGGTTTTCGTAAAGACTCAAGTCAAATTGGCGTGCTTGAAAAATCAAAATCACATCGATTACTTACTTATAGTCCCAACGAGAGCACAATCTTATGGAATACTTAAATGTCGTCAGTTCAGAGACTACTTTTAAATTAGTTAATATGAATAACTAAAAAGGGAACAATAAGAGCGGATTATTTTAAGAGGAATGAAAAGATATACGGTACGAAACACACCTATTTGACAACGGGTTTTCGTGAAGACTGTTATTTTAAGCAGCATAATTGACTGCGGTAAATGCGAATATAGTTTAATTTACGAGATATTGTACTTTAAAGCCGCAATTTTAAGAGAAACCATTTGAAAAAATAATCCTCTCTACAAAAATGTTTGTATGGATTATTTATGCATATGTATGTAAAATCTGGGACTAGACTTCTTTTTTGAGGGCTGATTCTTAGTAGTTTTAGACTTTTCGGAATTCCTACAAAGAAATTATGTATGAGTGTCGTAGTCCGTTAGTGTTGGAATTTATAGATTACCAGAAGCTATTGTAGATGATAAGAATATAATGCTGAATTGAGTTTATTAGTTTAAACCTAATTTCGTAAAATCCAGGATAATTTACAAGTACTTAATGCGATGTTTATTTATATAAAAAAAAATTTTTTCTTAATGATATTTGTTTCAATGTTTCAAGAATTTATATTTCATACTTTAAGAAGAGAATTAACTTAAACTCTATTTAAAGTTTTGTGAGAAAAAAAATTTCCAAATAATTAGGAATTTTATTGTATAATGCTATCATCTTTCAAGTCAGGGTGCCACACCTCTACAACAACAGTTTAATGAAAATGTGATTGGAATAAATTGCGAATCTTTAAGTTGAGATTCTTATGAAAATCAATTATAAACTGAAAACGCAGTTTAAAAATAAAAACAAATTACGCACGTGTAATGAATGGAAGCAGACAAATTGATAAATGAAAGCTTATATAGACAAGAATAAATTAAGAAAAATTGACTATATTCTATAATTTAAATATATAATTGGCATAACCTTGAGGTTGCTTACACTATATAAAAGCTATAGTCTATAACATATAACATATAATTTAAAAAAGTCGGTATGAATGATTAAGTAAAATTGATAGATATTACATATGCGTAATATTAGAGTATATTCAAATAGTGCTGAAGACCTTTTTGAGTGATTAAATTATTATGTTTGTATGGAAAAGGATGCTTATGACTGTAAAGTTTTTAATATTTTCTGCATGCATTGTTCGGCAAGATAAATAATGCCAAATAAATAGGGTTAATCATGAATTCTTTGACTGTCTGGAACATGGCATCCAGACCAGATCATATCGCGGGCCAATACAAATCACTGAATAGGTTGAAGAGCCGCAGAAATAAACGCATATATTCATAACTTAAATAAAAATGAATGTATGTAGAAGAATAAAAATATGGCGATTATGTTAAATTTAGTTTAATTAATTCTTCATTAATTTATATTTGAAAATTGTATCAATATCAATATCAATATTGATATACAAAAAAAATTTGCTTAATTGAGATAGATAAGAAACAAATATTAACCGCGAGCCGCATGTGACCTGTGAGCCGTGCTTTAGGCAGCCCTGGTCTAGAATATAAAGAGTTTTGATTAATCTTCAAGTAAGATTTTTCTCTGAGTAGAAAAACTTTTTTGGTGTAGTTTGAATTAATTATTACTCTGAATTAGAATTACAATGCGGCTTCTTAACCACTTTATCTACTAAGAGAAAGTGTCTCAGTTTTATTTCCTCAATAAATAGTTATATCAGTTTTATTTCTGTTTGTACATCAGGGCAGGGTATCTTCAAACTCGAGGTTGGCGGCCTCATCTTTAGTAGTTTTATTTAAGTACATTTTATTTTTATTATTTAGCACACAATAAAAATTTTAAATAATTCTATATTACTGAACTTATATAAAATTTAAATATATTATTTAATATACAATTTTTCCATTATATACACAATGGAATTCTCACATAAACTAATGCATTATGTATACAATTTGAAGAAATTATAATTAATTTTCCATATCAGTTCACTTTAAATTTTGTGAGAATTTATTTAAAAGAAAACATTTATTAGATAAAAAATAGTTTTATTTTTAATATATAAAATGTGTTAATTCGCATTTTTCCTGTATTTTTAAATTAAATTATTCTACGTTATAAAATAGTTTAACAAAAAATAAATAAAATATTTAACATTGCGAACGCGCATTTGAAATTGTAATTATTTGTGTACCTTTGGACGTGAAAAAATTATTATTGTTATTGTTGAGCTTTAAGCGTGGCTCAAGAAGCTTAAATACTATTAATTTTCATTTCAAATCAAGCGCCAATCATTTTGATTTCATTTGAAGTTGACTTGAGGTTTTATATAAATATCGGGTGAGACATGCACAAACGTTTTTTCGGCGCCAAAAATATTTTTTCTTCATAATTTTAAGCAGCTTTGTTTTTAATCGTTAAGCATTTCCATATAAGTTAAATTAAGTGGGACTTTGAAATTAATAAAAATAAATTAAACTAAACAAGTAAGCTTTGTCGAAACCTGAATAAATTTTTTACTTCTCAGTATGGATATATATACAAATCTTTGCCGGTCAATTGATATGGATTGGACTTTAATATAAATGATATTCAATAATAAAATTTATAAAAAATATATACACGAAGTGAAAACAACGCTTTTTGATTTAGAATTTTCTAAAGATATTTTTGCAACTGGCAGCTATGTCTAAATCCCAGCCGATCGCTAACGAAACCAATATCACATGGTTATCTATTTTGTGGTTCTAATATTATGTTCAGACACACCTTAATTTCACAAAAATTTCAATTTCATCTTCGTTTCAGCGAAATTAAGTTGTTTTTTCCATACAAAATTCAGAGTTAAGGTTAGAAGGATATTAAAGAAAATTATCTTAACTTTTAAATGCAACTATGCGTAAGATAATTTTTAAGCAAAAGATAAAGTTGAGATAACCAAAAAAGTGAATTTTTTTTTAAGTGAATGTCAGTAACAAATCCGAGAAAATATTTTAAAAGTAGTGCACATTTTTTAATTTAAAATAGAGTTTAAAATAATAATTCACATACCTAAAATCCAAATACCTAATCAACTTTTAAAATTTCCCATATACAAATTGTGTTTGTAGCATGTAGTTTTTAATATTTGATTTGTAAACAAAAAACTTATAAATTCCTTAATTTGGGGCAGTATGAACATTTTCCAAATTAACTTAATTTAATTTTTACGAAATTAAGGAAATTTGATTGTCTAAACATATTAGAAAACGAAACATTGATACAACTTTGGTTGAGATTTTCTTGAAATTTTTATTTTAATATATCTTTTGGATCTTGTCGTTCTCTACACGACACCTTAAACTGCCTTTAAATTAATTTAAATTTAATGCAAAATACTTGTAGTTTAAAATTATTGTAACGTAATAACTAATTGGTGGATTGATAATTACCTGACTTCACAACAGATGGTAACGCCAGGATAAACTCAACAATATTTTGTGTATCTGGCAATGTTTAATAGATAGCTGTAAAAGTTTCGACTTCATCAGATGTATGGTTAGTTTTTGTACATAATTAAAATACTGCATTATGGTGATTTTTTATAAAATGGAAAATATTGAATATCGTTCAGTAATAAAACTTTTCCTTTTAAAAGAAATGAACAATGATACAATCAAATTGAAAATGGATTCTGTTTACGGGAACCTTGCGCCATCGTTAACAACCATAAAATACTGGAAAGCTGAATTTAAACGTGATCTTACGAGTGATTTTGATTAAGAGAAAAAACTTGTTAAAGAAAACATTTTGTTTTTGTAGGACAACACACCCATCGCATTCCAAGCTTGAAAAGATGGCTTCAGGGAAAGAGATTTGCATCAAATGATAAAGGAATGGAGTGGAAACCTGAAGTATATTTTGAAGGATTTAATAAATCGTATTATTTAAAAAGTAACCAAATGTTGAAAGATCGTTGGGCTCTATGGATTCAGCTAGAAGGGGACTATATTGAAGTATAAAATATGATTTTCCAAAAAAAGTCGTTTTTATTACCTGGTATTTAACAATCCATGTAGTATGCGTGCAGCTATGATACAACCGATGTTTATTTTTAAAGTGTGGAGAACTTAAGGATTGCACGTTATTACACAATTATCCGAAGTATAAACACGATATTTTACATAACCCTACAAATAAAATTTAAGAAATGATTTTAGAATCGCATATTCAGGGTGTCTAATTTCCATAATCAAAATGTGAATTATCTTTACTCACATTTTTGAAATTTCCCGCGTACAAAACTGAAACAGGTCGCTTATGTAGCTTGTAACGAGTCCAGTTGAAACCACATATCCTTCACGTTGATGCCTTTAATTTTACACATATTCATTATTTGTTAAAAGATTAGGGCTCTATCAGACCTGCTCTCGGTAAAAACTAATGTATAAATTTTATTGGTACAAATGTTTTGGGATATTAAAGATACTGACGGTTGATAGGTAGAAGACTGTTATCTTTAGCGAATTAAAAATTAAGGAACTATTGATACGTATATGCTCCAGGTCACAAAAAATGCAAACCTTATTTGGTGAATAAATTTGGATTAAAAAGAGGTATTGAAAATAAAAACCAATTAATTCATTTTTATGTTTAAAACTTTTTATAATGTAGTTCACCACCACTTAGGAGATTTGAAATTTCTACTCACTATCTTTTTTAAACAAAATTGAGTTCTTTTAGTAGCAATCTTTCGGGGAGCCGTTTTATGTTCGAATATCAATTATATGAATATGAACGTATTTAAATGACATTTTTATCCCCTGAGTCAAGTTTTTAAAACCCATATGAAGCTTTTCAAGCACCATTTCATTTCATTTCACCATTTATTTCATTGTTGTTGTCATCGTTCTTAACCATTCCATACCAACCAGAGTGAGGCAATTCAACTATCACAACTCGGTCATCTCTAAACGATTTTTACCATTTTAAATCCTATGTTTTTAACATGCTTAATTCATCTTTGGTTTTCTTCAACAACCATTCGGCTTATAGGATTTCTTTAAAAAACAAAAGTAAAAGCAAATCCTTTTAATCAACTAGTTATTCAGTCGTGAACATTGCAAAATGCTGAAAGGTATATTTGCAAAAACAGGTGATTTGTTAATAGAAACTTTCTCAGCAAATTAACAAAACTCAAGAAAAATGTGCGAACATAAAAGTCAAGTACGATTTTGGGTCAGTTGGTTAAGGAGTGCTGACTTTGAGCTTCAAATTTGGCAGGGCACGAGTTCGATTCCTGTTACTTGAAGTCTCAAAAAATTATTTACGAATAATTAAATATAAGAAACAATTCCAAGACCACAGCTGATGAGTAATTGATAATACTCAAAATAACTATATGGCAAGACAAATATTCAATTCATTAAAATAATATAAAAAATAATTTTGCTGTTGTAGTTGTTGTACTTTTCAAAAACCTCTTTAAAAAACAGGTGATATAAACACAATGAGTAATAGATCGCGCTTAAGTCTTGCGTGGTAACGCAGTGATATCAACTTTAAAGATTATATGGGTTTCTTTTAAACAGATTACTAGTATATGTTATCATATAATATTATAAATATTATTTATAATTCCCGATATTTTTTGTATGGAACATATTGCTATTTGAAAAGAATATTTATATTTAAAAGTATTCAATTGCAATTGTCTTACCCTGTAAAAAGCTTCTATTTTTAATCTATTTAAATATTTATAATTATATTGTGTAAAGCAAACATGTAATTCATCTAATAAAATCTCTCGCAGTCGTACGTTAAAATATTTATCTATACGATATGCATTTCGAATACCAAATTTAATATTGCAGCATCTGAATTATTGATGTCACGTTCGACGGTTTGTCAAATCACGCACTTCGCTTTAAAAGCGTTTTGCATTTGCCAGGAAATTTATGTGAATTTAATGTGCACTCATGTCTCTCATACTCGTATCTATATAAGCAATCATTTTTTTTATTTATACTAAAATATACATTTACAGACACAATAAATTATTTAAATCTCAGATTGATTTTCAGATTTTGAGAAAATATTTAAAGCATTGTCGAAGAGTACAAAAATGAAATGTAGAGTAATAGCTATATAAAAATGACATTAGCTTGTATTGTTATTATAACAATTAAATTATAATAAACTAAAATTCAGTTTATTTATAGTTTATTTATTTGGCTGACAATAAAACGCTGTTTCGAGTATTGCCAAGTACTCATCATCAGTGGTAATACTGATGATCATACTTGAAAATACTCGAAACAGCGTTGTATGATTAGCAAAATTTCAATAAACTAACAAAATTTTTGTTCTTGTCTTTTCTTTACTATTCGAACCCTTCTAACTTTTAAAATAGTTTCTTTGACGCTTTTGGCGTGTTTATACAACTTCCCATTATGGCTATCAGTTATGCTGGCTTTTTTATAGTTCTGATAATTACTTTTAAGGTTGAAACACACACACTTTTCTATGCTATAAAGCTATTCGTTCTTTTGTCTAGAGCTTTCTGGTACTTTAGCCTCGATCGATAAACGACTGCACCGATCCCTTCTTCAGTGAAGGAATCCTTCGTATACAATACTAGCATGTTCTGGCGTATGTTATACTAGAGTATTAATATACCATCCCAATTATTTTTATTACTAAATTCAGTTTTGAATGGTTTTATAAAAGTTCAAGAAGTAACTTTGCAAGAATATAAAACATTAATATTTTCTAACTAAAAGTAAAATTCTTAATTCTTTTACTTACAGTTCAGTTCCTTTGATCCCCACATACCGCAATGGCGTTTGGATCCATGTCAAATTGAAGACACTGCTCCAGATATGGAAGATCCTGTACGTCTTTTTCACGGACGTGTGCGTATTGTCTGGGAACACGAACATCAAACACTCAACTCTAAATTGATGGTAACCGTTTTGGGTAAAGGTGAACAGTGCCGAAATGAGAAAAAACATCAGTGTCTAAAAATAGGGTAAGCGTATAAATAAATTTTCAAATTTTTAGTGAATATAAATAATATTTTTTATTATTTTTATATATTCTAGCGATGAACCTATTTTATGTATATCCAAAGATCTTGTTTGTGATGGCATACGTCATTGTCCGAATAGTAATGAATATGATAGTGATGAAGATTATGCAATGTGTTGGAAACATCGTCGTGTGAATGATCCAATTTCCACAGCTATGGAAAGTGACATTTTTGAACACTTTGCTTTGGAAGTATTTCGTAATCTATTTGCTTTTGATGCACCCACAATGCCGGATAAGAGAAATAGAACTGCTGTAGGCGCAAATAGCACAACTTTGCGTAAAGTACCTGCCAAAACGGATAATAATACTATCAATAGTGATGGTGAACTTACAGATAATTCAAATGGTACAAAAACCCTCAAGAATAGCACAGAACACGCTATTACTAATGTTGGTACGGGACATCACAGACGGAACTCCACACGTTTAGGTTTAAATTCAGATTTATCAAAATATGGTCCATGGGGTTATCTGATGCTTGGCATGTTACTGTGCGGAGGTGCACTTTTAATATGTGGACTTTGGGGTAAATTTAGTGATTCTTTCATTCCTTTAATATTTATTTAATTTTGTTTTTCTGTAACTTACCCTGACATATCATCATTTTTATTTTTCTTTTCTATTCTCTTTTTTTTTTCTTTCATTCACATATTCTTTTACTTTTTTGTTTGTCCCTATATTATTATACTAACAACTATTTCCCATCAATGAACATATTATTTCACTGTACTTCCTCATCCACTCTTGATACTATTTATTTTCAACTATTCCCGTAAACTCTGCTATCCCCCTACAGTTTGCTGTTGTCGCTTAAGCCTTCACATTCAAACCATACGTTCACTTTCAGCTTCCGCCTCTCAACATGCAGCTAATAATGAGCGCGAATCAGCATTACAAAATGGTACCTCAGGCATGCCCGGTAGTCATGTTCATCCCTCCAATAACGCTGGACCACCAAATTACGAGGAACTCGATCCACCGCCAGCATATTCCGTGCTATTTCCAAATCAAAAAGCCGCTTCTAGCAATACATTAAGTTCCATGGGTGCTACAACAACTGCAGCTGGTGCCGCTGCCGCTGCAGCCAGCAGTGGCATTGCAGTTGCAGCCGCTGCTGTCATACCACCACAGGCTGAAGCAGCAGTCGCACCTGTTACTGACTCAACAACTACAACAACAATAACACCAAACATCACAGCGGCTTCCGCTCAAGAAAATGTAGGTAGTGCAGCGTCGAATTGAGCGGATTTAGCAGCTTGATAGCTTTGCTCACGTTAGTCTGACACATCCTTTCATCCAATAAAAGTAGACATGCTCTGATGCCAGACAATTATTTGCAGCATTGCATTTAGTAAATTTTTTTCAATTGACTGACTTATTTATAATAAAAATAAAAGATTAATCTTCGTTAGAAGTGAATCTGTAAAGTAACTTTGACAAATTTAGCTTTAAGTTAAGAAATTTACTTTTACCGCTTAGTTAGTTAGTTTAATAATAATAAAAATGTTAAAGATAGGTTTTGTGTTTTTTAAGTTAGTGAATATTTAACGTTTTTCCACCATCATTTTTTGATACCAATTTTTTCCTAATGTTATTATGATAATAATTATTATTATTTTTTTATATGTATTTAATTGTAAAAATGATGTGCATGCGTGCTTTTTGTATTAGATTTTCGTATTTAAATGACGAATTACTGAAAACTTCACATTGTAATTAAATTTGAATTAAACTTTGCTAAATGAATTAATTTTCTCGTTTTGTTTTGACAATTTTACAATTAAGATAACAAATAAAATTCATTAATATTAATTATATTGAACAAAACGATCATGATTATTATGTAAATCAGCAATTATTAATTTATTTGATGTGATATAATTTAATAAAAAAACATATGTAACAAAATTTAATGATAAATTCAAATTAATTAATTTTAAAAATATTCATGTGTTCCTCCTGTCAATGACGATTTTAAATTTTTAATAAGTTAAAAGTTTATAAGTTAATAAGTTTTTTTCGTCTTCCGCAAATTACTATTTTCAGTACAAAAACTACGAGTTTAGGTATAATAAAACAAAATTGTTAAAACTTTTTATGTTACTCATTAGAAGCCAATTAGGCTATCTAATATATTCGTCAATTTAATTTGTTTTAATACCCCAATAAAAGTAGAGTGCTTCTTGTTGTCATAAATAGCGTTTTGTTCCATACTGAACAGAAAGCACTTTCGGGAAGTAAGGATTAGTTAAACTTTTGATACGGAAAGTTTTGGTGAGCAAAGGATATAAAGAAAGAAAAATTTTTATTATAGTGTAACTGATGTTATGAGGTTATTTTTTTTATGGGGTTATTTAAATGCAGGTCATTTTAAAGCATTTAATCCAGAAAAATTTATTAGAGGTGTTCATGCACCCATTGATTAGAACATGTGAGACATGATTTCGACAATTTAAAAGTAGTATTTCCATGTGAAAAAAAGTGAGCACTCTAGCAATCATAAAAGTACAAAGACAAGCAATTGCAGTTGTTACTGTCATAAACAACAATCTGCAGACGTTTACGAGCAATGTGGAGAATTAATAAAATGGGTAAATGAGTTCCACACAGTCTAAATAAACATCAAATGGAAAATCGCAAAGTTACTTGTGAAATGTCTCTTCGAAGCCACTAAATATAATTATTTTTGGATCGAATTGTGAAGGGTGTTGATAAATGGATTGATTTTAAAATCTGGAAGCGGAAAAAATCGTTTATTTCATCTGGTCGCTTCGGTAAAATTGGTGGGACTATAGTGGTATTGTATATTATAAACTCTTAATTAATGCAGAACGCTATTACTATCAAATAATTACTTTAAATCCCGCATTGAGCGAAAGATGACCGGAATGGATCATATTATAATGATTCTATTACACGACAATGCGGCGTCTCACATAGCAAAATCACCTATATAGGACAGTGCGACGGGTGAGTCGTGACAGTACGGCGGGTAAGTTGTGACAGTACGACGGGTGACTCGTGACAGTACGACGGGTTAGTCGTGCTCAGTCGTACCCAGACCTGTCGCTAACTGACTGTAAGCTATTCGCACGAATAGTGCATGCATGTCATTTCGGGGAAAACAGAACGTATGTTTATCTTCTATATATTGTGTGTTTTGTTGATAGAAGTTTAAAAAATCGTCCACGTCTCAATTTCACTGACATAACTCACTCAAAACAAACTAATAGCTTAACTAAATTAAAAATTAGCATGAAATTTTAAGCGCTATCAATGGTGAAGATATCCCAAGTACAAATGATATATTTAGATATTTCAAGTGTAAATAAAAAATTCCGGATAATTTTGGATCAGAGATAAATCTAGAGACAACCGCATCATACCTTAAATGTCCAAAATTAAAAAAGAAAACACTTTACAGACAAGTATTCGCACTTTTACAAAATTCATATTGAAAAGTTATCTATAAACACTGTTTACAGCTTGCACAGCCACGGGAACAAAGACTGGAAAGGATCTTATCCAAAAAGTCCAAAAAGTTTGGACATCGATATTATTTAGTTATCTCGGTGAATAAAAGAAACTAAGAAAACATTTGATTGATTTTAAACTATTTCTATAACTGAAACCAATAAAAAAAAAACAAATATAATAGAATGTCCTTTTCTGTTCAATCTGTGTTGAAAAAATGTTTTTAAAAACTAATTTTAAAAAACAGGCACAAAAAATTGGTCAGGTTTTGTCCAAAAATTTTGTTTTGGCTTTAAAAAGTTTTAAGCACAAAAGATTTTATTCAAAACTTTTGTATTGCTTTGGTCATGTATGATTTATTTATCTACACTTCAGATAGAAGCATTTGGTATAATATCTTACAAAGTTTTATAAGTTTTTATACCAATTAAAATAATTTCGTTTAATTTGTTGCATACTTTCAGGATCCCTACAATAATAAAACCATTAAAAAATTCTTTTTCAAAGACGACAGAATTTATTTATCAAATAATTTTTATTCATAGACGCTTTTTTGGAAATATCGCAATCCTATAGAGTTTTTGCACATTTAGTATAATAAATATTAAATATTTTATTTCATTTACTAATTTTGGTTCCAATATAAGAGAGTTTAGCATTACTTTTACTCATAAGTGTTTCTCTTCTTTATTAAAACCAATTTGTATTAGTATCATAATTCGTTTTTTATAGGCTTATGGGCTTATGTTCATACAAACGTATTATGATTTCGAGAAGATAGATATCAGTTATATTTTCTAGTGTTATAGTTGTTTTAATTTAGATTTCTTTTTTTTAAAATACACATAAGACTTGCACACAGATAAAATTGTTCATTTAGTTGCTATTTTTAATCGTGTTTGTATATAACTTAAATCTACTTTAATGTTTAAAGTTGTATTTGTTGTTTGTTATTTTTTTTCTTTTTAATTTAATTAATAAGTATATATCTCAGTTGAGTTGTTTAAAATGATTTAATTTCAGAGTTAGATTCGATAACAACAGATATATTCAATAAAAATTGTTGCCGGTGCATGCAACAGCATAAACACATGTTCCTTGCAGTTTTCACATAAAATGCACATCTATAAAAATTCTCTCAATTTTTCAACAAATTAAATAAATAAATTTTTAATCTCTTATACAATATAATTTTTTCTTTTTTTAGATTTTAAAACAACATATTTATACTAATCTTTATCATAAATTTTACTAGAATTACTTTTTGTTAATTTTTTAGATATATTTCTTACTTATCCTTAAAGTCAATTACAGCAAATGCAACTCCTCCTACAAATTCTGCTCTTGTAGGCAAGTCAGTGCAATTTTTTATTAATTTTAATATTTCATAAGAATTGGGCGTTTTATTTTGTTCATATATTTCAATGCACATTTACACATTTTCTAATTAAAAACTAATTTTGTTTTTAATACCTAAGCTTTTAAGACTAACTTTACTTTTATTTTTATTTATTTACTTATTTCTAATACCGTTATTATTTATATCAATTATTTATTTTTGTTTTTATTTTTTATATATCTCATATTTGTTATATCATTAAGTCATTACTTTTGTAATCTTTTTATTTTTTATAATAATAAATTTTTATTTTTATTTATAATAAATTTTATTTTATTTCATATTTATTATATCTTTAAGTCATTACTTTTGTAATCATTTTATTTATTTATAAAAAATTATTATTTTATTTATAATAAATTTTATTTTATCTCGTAATTGTTATAATATTAAGTCATTACTTTTGTAATCATTTTATTTATTTATAATAAATTATTTATTTTATTTATAATAAATTCATAATAATTAACTTATTTAATTTGTATGTAGATTAATATTTTTTAAATATTGGTATCGACCTCAATTATTCACATGTATTTTAGTTCTTTTTTGCCGGCCTTAGGTCCTTTTTGTAATTTTTAAATAATACTAAACTGACTGAAACAGTTATTTCCACTTTTAATTTTAAGAAAACTTAAATTTTTTTATAGAAATATTTCGGTTTACTACTTATACCAATTTCACTATTAATAATTCTTGAATTTAGAAACTAAAATAATTGTTTTATTTCTTTTAATATTATTTAAAAATTAAGAAAACGTGAAAAACCAGAAAAATAAAATAAAAAAAAAATTGAAATTAAATCCTTTTATTTATAATATTATTTCAATGAATGTATTATATAAATATATATATTTTCGTATCATATATATATTAATATAATGAGTTTTATTATTTACTATTATTATTATTTTATTTATAATTATTAAGTTATTATTTTTGAAATTAATTTATTTTATTCATAATATATTTTAATGAATATATTTTATTAATATATATAATAATATTATAATATGTATTATCATTAATTATAGTTCTTTAATACATATTTGTTATTGGCTTAATTTATTGCATATTTTATGCCTGTAATTTTATTAAGTTATAATTTTTCAGATTTTTAGATATACATATATTATATGCATGCATATAACATAATATTCATTTTTTTATTATCTATATTATTTTTGTCAAAATTAAGATTATATTTTAGATACATTATATTAATTTTATAGTAATTAAGTTATTAATATTAAAGTCAAAAAAATAAAATAATTATTGTTTTTATTTTAAACTTTTTTACTTTTTTAAAGTATTAGTTATTAATTATATTAAAGTATTAACATAATAATTATATGAATAATCAAACTTTCATCTTATTGCGTTCATTTTTTACATATTTACTTTAATATTATTTTGTAAAACATATTTTAATTCAAATTATTAAATCATATTATAACAAATAATAATATAAATTATTTTAATTTTTTAATCAATAAAAATTACTTTATTTAACTAAATCTTATTTTACAGATCTCAATTATTTATTTAAGTATTAAAATAAAAGAATTATGAAGCATTTTATTCTAAACAAAGTTGTTTTTATTATAATTATAAAAAAAATCAGCATAAATTATTTTATTATTTCAAATTTAAAATCTAGTACTTAACTTAGATATTTTTGTGTTAA